TATATATATATATATATATATATATATATATGTTTATATTTACTGTCTCATCACGTCGTTCTGTCCTTGGTCGGTCGTCGATTACAAAATGCCGACATTAGTGTTCCACTGCCAGTCTATTAATCTCCATTATGCATGATTTAATGACTTCCGTGATTTCACTCTAATAATATCTAATTTCGTTGTTAATGTCTACATGTTCATTGCCAAGACAATGTCGGTTGAAAAAAAGACATTGTCGCAATTAAAAATGTCCACTACATTACCTATCCATGTCCTCGATAACTAAGCAATGTCCAAAATTTTTAAAATGTAACATTTCATAATTTTTACAACGTCCCAGATCAGTGAACAATCTCAATATTTTTACAATATCCATCAAAAAGAAAATATAAACAGACAAATCAAGGAAAGAGAAAATCTACCAAAGGGAAAAAACATATAGTATATAGTTTATACGGAGTACAAAAAATTAGGACACAAGGGTGTTTTAGTAATGTATATTATTAATAATTAATTAATTAATTAAATGCTAGTTTTGGAAACAAAACTTGATCAGTGCCATTTGGGGAAAAGTGTTAATTTTTGGTGCTACTTTGTACAAATTTCACATGAAAATATCATTAATTTACAAATCTTATAATAAATTTGTATTAATTTATTTATAGTGATTTTCACAATGAGAGTTTTATAATGGTCATAAGGTCCATAAAAATGCTTATTTATTTATTAAAAATAGCTAAATAATATTTATCACAATAATAAGCAAATGTTTTTTATGAAATCTGCCATATTCGTTGGTTCATAGCAAAAATTTGTCTATAAGATTAACTAATATCACACGAAGAAAAACAACTAGTATTGTATGCAACTTACCTGGATGGATAGGGAAAAACTTAGGAAGAAGCAACATTTCTGGGAGTAAGGGATTACAACCATCCCACTCATAAATCCCTAATACCTGTATTATAACATTGATAATAATTAAAATATTAGTTATTATTATTATTATTATAACAAAAAAACAAAAAACAACAAAACTAATAATGGAAATGGTAATGATATTATGATGATGATCATCATCATCATGATAACTATAATCATAATAGTTATAATGATTATAATAATAATAATAATAATAATAATAACAACAACATTAATAACAATGGCTTTTACGATTAGCGTTAACATTTTGGATAAAATTTTAACAAAGTAGATTAACTTTAAAATGCTAAAACTAAACACAGCCTTAAGATAGTCTTTTCAATACGCTGACCTTGTTGTTTTTATTATTAATACTATTGTTATTATTGTTAGTATTATTATTATTATTATTATTATTATTATTATTATTATTATTATTATTGCTGTTATTTTTATTACATTCATACACTGAATAAAAATAATCCACTTCTCTTTCCCACATAAGAATCTCAACTTTCATGCTTTATTTTCGATAATTAGGTGCCCAAAAATGGATGATTCGTTCTTCTCATTATTTTTGTATTATTTATTATTATTATTATTACTATTATTGTTGTTGTTAATATTGTGTTTGTTGTTGTTATTATTACATTTGTTCACCCAATTTGACTCATGCGCATTTTGGTCACACATAAGCATCTCAACTTTCATGCTTTTGTTCGCCCACGCATTTTGGCCACACATATGTGGTATCGAATTCATCTATGTTTTAACATTTTTCCTTGTTGGTGTTAGCTCATCGGTTCCCTTTGTCACTCTTGTAGTTGAGTTGTATAACTCATGTTGGCATTATTTTTTGACGAACATAATTTGTTTTTGGATAGTTTGTTTTTAGCTAGCCATTATGTTAATGTAGAGTTGTAGCATCATGTCCGTTTTCACAAGCAGCAAGGTGTTCCCGTTTCAGTAAGACACGTTTCAACGCATGCTCCTTCAAGAGACCTGTTACATGCTACTACTACTTCTCTACAGCCTTTGGAACTTCTCTCCTCAAGATCCCTACATTATTGAGATACGCATGAAGCCATATCTAAATAATTCTTGCGAGAAACAAAGTCTACTTGACACCCAAAAGAAGAGTTCATTTATGACTCTACTAGGGGTTTTCACCCTGGTATTTATATTGACAAATGGTATCATTTGAATGGGGGAAATAGTGATCGATCAACAGCTAAGAAAAAGAGAGAATTCCTCACAACACGGCAGCTGCCATAGAGGTGGAGCATGACTTTGTTGTCTCCAACAACACGATACCGGTTCTTGTTATCAACCACACCAAAATGCTTAGTATAATAAACATTACCTTCAACAATTGAACCACGAAATAAATGTGCCCAACTTCCTTTGATGCGAGCATGGATATAAGACCCCATAAGAATAACAACAGCACATGTTGGAAAAGAAAATACAAATGAGTCGTAAACCAAAAACCAGAACCATTACCTTTTCATCAATCAACACCATATCCCTATTAATTATATCATTCTTATTCTTCAAATTGTATGCATCCCAGATTTAAGAAACACGCGCCTTAATCGCACAATTGCTCAACTCACGTGTAAATTTCTATATAGCAATGTGATCATCCACCTTCTTGCCAAGTAAAGTACATATGGGTGAATACATGGTGGGGGAAAAACACAACACTCATATGACACTAAATCTCTTTATAAACTCACTATATGTTATTGCAAGCTCACACCCAATTCATGTTTGTATATAGAGATGGGGAGAACACTGGCAGAACTCTAATCACCCCAAAAGGCACAAACACCCATGATTAGAATTCATTCGAAGTAAATACACTAAGTCCCACACAAAATAAATATCACTCACATTAAACGCAGGGTTAACGTAATGCAATCGGATACACGAGATCGAGAAAGGTAGGAAAAGCAGAACCCCTGACATTCGTATGTAACCGACCACTAATTTGATGTGTAACTGACGAGTAATGGCGAAACTCAGTGGTAGTGGCATAGTGTTAAAAGGTCAGATTAGAGGTCGTCGTTTCTACAGGTTGGGAGACAGATGAAAAGCACTGAATTTGATCCTATTTGGTTGTGACGTTAAAAAAATGACAATCCACTCTGGCTATGACATAAAAAAAAGACATGTCATATGTCACATGTCAACACTACAACTAATAAACTCAATTTTACATATATATATAGGATAAGCGTGAAGCCATATCCAAACAATTATTACGAGAAACAAAGTCTACTTGACACCTAGAAGAAGAGTTCATTTGTGACTCTACTAGGGTTTTTTCACCTTGGTATTTATATTGAAAAATGGTCTCGTATGAATGGGGGAAATAGTGATCGATCAACAACCAAGAAAAAGAGAGTATTCATCACAACACGAGAGCGACTATATATCACGCCACATTATTCATATCAGAGCATAGTTATATTTGAAAAAGGATTACATCTTGTAATCCTTGTTGTGAAGTAGTTCACAACCATATCCAAAAGTTAACTACTGTGTTGATCTGGAAATAAGCTGACAACACGCCCTTGATGTAGAACATGGAGAAGGTGTAACACACCAAGGAGAAAGACTCAAATAGGGTTTGTAGTCAGTAATCACTTGTAAGTCTTTAACCAATAGATTAAGGTACTCCTGTGTAGTTGATTGTAAATGCTACAGTGATTTAGTGGAGTACTATTAGACAAACGTGGGCCTCGCGGATGTAGGAGATTCAGCTTTGAACTGCGTAAAAATTCCTTGTGCACTACTTACTCTTCTTTACTTTATATTCTGTGTGTTTCCATGAGATGGAGAAGATGTTTCAAAACTTGGTCAGTTATTGGTTTTATGACAGTGCTAAAACATTATTTGCAACAATTTTTTTTTTATCCCCTTGTCTAAGATCAATGCTTGGTTATTCCCGCTACCCCCTACAACAATTTTTTGCAACAGTTTGTTTGTGCTAAAAAATTTGTGCAATAGTTTGTTTGTTTTATCTCCTATCTATTTTGATCTTAACCATGGGTGACATGAAAGAAGGTGCCAATGTTCAACGACCACCACTTCTGCGTGAACACAATTACAGCTTCTGGAAATGGAAAATGAGAGCTTTTCTGAAATCTCAAGGATGTGGAGTCTGGCGTAGCATGGAAACTGGGTGGAAAGAATCGTTGAAGTTCTCAGAAGATCTATTAGTGTACACTATTAAACCTTTTGAACAATATAGCACAACTGAAGTTGCTGCAACTAAGTTTGATGATAAGGAATGGGATGCTATATTTGGTGCAGGCGATGCCACGCAGTATAGACTTATCTCAAACTATACAAGTGATAAGGAGGCATGGGACATTCTTGAAGTTACTCAAGAAGGGGATAAGAAGGTTAAAAGTTCCAAGTATCAAATTCTCATGACCTAATACAACAGTATTCTAATGCATGAGAAGGAAAGTATCATTGAGTTTCATGGAAGATTCAGAGACCTTGCAAATAAGGTGACCAGACTACAGGAACCATTCCCAACATCAAAACTTGTGCTAAAAGTTCTCATATCATTGCCTAAGAAGTTTTATATGGATGTCAAGATAATTGGTAAGTCTCATGACACTAAGAAAATGAGTATTGACACTCTTATGGGAAATCTTGAAACAATTGAACTAAATATGAAGGAAGATAGCAAACGAAGAAAACCAGTAAGACATATTTCCTTGTGGGTGTTGATTTTAAAGATGACCAAGAGTATGATTTAGCACTTGATGAAGAACTTCAAAAACAATTGTCTATGTTCACAAAGCAATTTAAGAAAAGGTTGATTTAGAAGAAGGGAAGAAATTTCAATCAAATGGACCATCAAGAGGGCTCTTGTTTAAAGAGACAAGGGTTAAAGACAACAAACCACACCTAGAACAAAATAATAAGCATAAGGGACCACAGTGTTTTGAGTGCGGAGGTTAGAGTCATATTCAAACAGAGTGTGCAAACAACTTGAAAAAGAAAAGACAAGCCTTTGATACCACATAGAGTGATGGCTGGCCAGAAGAAGATCAAGGGAACAGAGAAAGCAACTCTGCATTCACCTATCAATTTATCGCAGAGGTTGAAGATGATCTTACAGAACAACATGTAGACTTAAAAGAAATATGGACTGAGTTTTTAATGATCAACAAACGAAATGTTGTTGAGAAGAAAAAATTGATCTCTGACTTAAAAACTCTCAAACGATGTCTAGATCAAATTGATATGAACATATAGATAAAGAAACTCAAAGAGTTTCAAAAGTGGATGAAGATCACAGGAGCAAATGTACTTGATGATCGGGAAGAAATATTCAAGGTCCTAGGTGGCAAAATAGGTCTTGGATATATTGAAGAACAAGAATGCTCCAAGATTCCAGAACAAGCTGGCCCTTCGCATATCAGTCATCGTGAAGACCATTTAAAGAAGTATCAAAACATTGAGACTTCGTAAAGAAGAAACACCACAAGGTACTCCAATGTTAATCCTTATAGAGGTTACCAATTTTTTTATTGCAGGAGATGGGGTCACATCAAAAGGCACTACCGCAAGCACAAGTATCAAAGGAGAAGAAAACCTAAAGTCAGAAAGATAAAGAAGGTGTGGGTCCCAAAATGCAAAGCCTTGGTAACAAAATCATGCCTCAAAGTCACACTAGATCAGTGGTTATTGGATAGTGATTGCTTGCATCACGTGACTGGTGACAAGTAAAATCTTACTAATCTCAACACATTAGAAAAAGGGAATGTCAAGTTTGGTGGAGGAGTGCATGGAAAAATTATCGTCTGTGGCATTCTGAATGTGTCTGGTCTTCCATCGATTAAAAATGTGTGGTTAGTCCAGGGGCTTCAAGTAAACCTTCAGAGCATAAGTCAAATATGTGATTAAGGGTTGGAGGTCATTTTCACTCAGCAAAAGTGTCGAGTCAAAGACAAAATCAAACAGGTTGTGCTAGAAGGTGACAGAACATAAGATAATTGCTACAAATTCACT